GTTCAACAGGCTCCTTACTCTCTTGATATGGCTCCTTGCGACTTCTGGCTGTTCCCCAAACTCAAGAGGTCATGGAAAGGAACGCGATTTCAGACAAGAAAGGACATTATGGCTGCAACGATAGCCGAGCTAAACTCCATTTCGAATCAGGCTTTCTCGGAATGCTTTCAACAATGGCGGCACCGCTGGGAGAAGTGTGTGGAGTCCCAAGGAGACTACTTTGAGGGTGATTAGGATTCCAATGCTCCAGGTATGCCAGTTTTTATTCCCCAGCCAGAGGTCGGATACTTTTCTCACAGGCCTCGTACATATTTTTGTTAATGAGATATGGATAACACCACCTGTGTAAGTAATTTTGTTTATCACATGATTGAAACAACAGGTCCATCCAAGTTACATTCTTTTAAATTACAATAAAAATACAGAGGGAAAGGAAGTGGAACTAATAAAAGTAACTCATTTTCTTTAGAAAAACATAATACAGTTAGCTTATGTGGAGGATGTAGTCACAAAATCCATCTAATGAAATTGATATAAGTTTAAAAAACAACCATTATACAGTTAGCTTATGTGAAGGATGTAGTCACAAAATCCATCTTATGAAATAGATACAAATTTAAAAATTAACTGCCCATTTATAACCCTTTCAAGACAGATCACGGGTGGAAGGCCATGTCATCTCGTTTCTTGACTTAAGATTTGGAAAGCAATGTTTTTCTTATGCCTTTTTTATTCTTTTTGCATGTTGCCTATCTATCATGCAAAAGAATTATTCATTTTAAGATTGAAAATACTTTCATGCATCAGAAAATTTTCAAATTTCACGTGTGAAATATTTATAATGTCCAGATAGTTATCAAATGTTTCTTAAGAAAAACTTTATATTTTATCTGTTATTTTCAGTAATGAATCTCTGTATGAGTTCGGTAGAATTGAACAATCTTGTAACCACCATAAAAAATTAGGAAATAAACATAAATTCTGCCTCTTTCATCCTAGAATGTACACAAGAAAACATAAATGTTTAGACTAAATAGCTTAAATCTCATAATATTATATATATTTATTATTTTTATTATACTGACCTTTCAGCTGTGCCTGGTCACTACTGCTCACTTGACTCGATTATCTGTCTATCTGCTAATATTATCTCTGCTTTATTTGCCGGGCTTATATATCAAAATAGAGGGCATCTGGCAAACACTCAAGCCTACGTGATCATTCTAAAAACTAATCATGTGTTACCAGCGTCACTTGACATCCGCTGTCATAAAAGTTGCTAAGCCTTAAAAAAATTTGCACATGGTGGATATGAAACAAAATATTTTTTTAGGTTTTATGTATATATACATTTGAATAACTATAAATTATAGCATCAATACCATAGAATTCCACTAATTTATCAAACTTAGTAACTAAGATGTATTTTAATCTAAAAAAAATATGAAATTTCGAGCAGACTTAAAACACACCTTACCTCCTTGAAATGTTGGTTCAAAAGAAAGAAATGACATCCAATCCCTTTAAAAAGGGCTGTGAAAGTCACTAGGGGACATTCTGAGCTACCGGTTAGTTATTCGTGTAATATATAGAAGTAAGAAGGTGTTTCCAAAAAATGGAAAGAGGTGGATGGGGTGAAACTGTTTGATTTATTATAGGAGCAATATCTTGGCAAATAGAAAAGATAAGTCGTTCTTTTTTTTTATATTCTAACTTATCAATATTGATAACTTAAGTTCACACAACATCTAATTTGAACCAGTGCTGCATTCAACATACCATGCGACACAAAAATCTGTTTATTTGTGTTTTTTTTAATACTTACTTTTAAATTAAGAAAATTGAGTAATGTATAGTACTAAAATTTCAATTATAATCTACAGTTTGATATCAAACTTATTGACTATAAATTCATGAAATAGTAGTTCAATAAATTTGAATGCAAGTCAAACAAACGAGGTAACATGG